CCAGAGTCTGAGACTCCCTCCCGACTGAAAACGACAGCCGCGCCCTCAGCCACCAGCCTGCTTTGCGCACGCACCTCGGTACCTTTGTATTTTCCACACTGCGCCTCCTCTGAGCCTCGGTTTGCTGTTCTCTTTCCTTCTAGTTGAATAGTCTCTCCTCAGCCAGCATTCCTGTGGTTCTGGGTGATGTCTGTTCCGTCTTTTAGTTGTATTTTTGAAGTGGTTGTTTGCGGCAGCAGTCTCCTGTGTTTACCTATGCCGCCATCTTGGTTCCTAATCTGTACTCAAGTAAAATTTTCTTGATGCAATTTACTCACAGGGGATTATTCCACTATCCCCTTTTTAATTTAAGTAATATTAAGAGGCTTTTGGAAATTCTACAATGCAGTCTTGATAACTTTTTAATTTTAATTTTCTGTACAGAAATATGACTGCTTTGAATTCATTGCATGTTAAGCAAGTTTACTATGAGATAAACCATTAGTAAAAAATTAGTTAATGCTTCAGAAACAGTTTCCTGCCCAGTACAACAAAGATTTTATGAATATTCATTTATTTTAGTTAGCCAATTTAAATCCATCTGAAATAAGATTTATTTTTTTAACTTTACTTGTCCTAACTTATGGACGGTAAATGACATTAATTAAACTTCTGCCATTAGTTTTTGGGTAACTTTACATAAACTTTGATTAGAGAGGCAAAAACACAAATTACTTACTTTAGCTTATGAGGCCCAATATATTGATTTTTAATTACAGTTAGACATCTGAAGTAAACCTTTTTATTTCCTTCCAGACACTTTTCTTTCTTTTTTACACCAAGCAACAAATGTAACAAACATGGTTGCTTTTTGAGATTTTAACAATTACTGCCGCAAAGCCATATATTTCAAGTGAGTTTTCATTTCTGGTGACTGTAATTATTGTCAAATTTAGTATTTTAACAACAATCTTAGTTTACCCTGTAAATATTAGCAATTATATTTTTAAAGAGTATCCCCTTTGGCTTATTTGCATATACAGAGGGGTTATGGGAGGTTTCAGTAATTTTCCTAGACTTTACTTGGAATCAAATATAAATTCAGCATATAAAGAATAAATAATATGTAAGATTTTAAAATGAGGCACAAGGCTTATTGCAAGCAGTATATTCAGCATTGAAAATAATTCATAAACTCCCAATCTGTGAAACGCAAATACCCCAAGCATCACTGGCAGATGCCCCCACGCGGTGTCCCTAACGGGACACATGCTACCCCCCTGAGAGTGTCCTGTTTGAACTTGGCTCTGAATCTATGCAAGTTTCTGAAGCAGATGCCTTAGCAACCCACATGACCTGTCCCTTGCTCTTGATTGGAGCTCAGGCGCATGGTCTCTCCCGATTGGCTAATTCAAAGGGAGGGGTTGGCCTTTGCTGTTTCAAGATGGTGGCCCCCAGGGGAGTGGCAGGCCATGCGGCCAACGTGGCGGTGTCTACACTGTTCTTCAACAGAAAATATGATTTGTTTATTCTCACAATAAACAAGGGAAGAGCAAACCAAAATCCCTAAAAGATAGACAGCCAACATTATATTCAGACAAGCAGAAATCTCATTAGCTGTTTATACCTTTTATAATTATCCTAAAGAATATCAATTAAATTTAAACTGGTTTTTGTATTAAAAATTTCAGTTGAGCCGAAACCGGTTTGGCTCAGTGGATAGAGCGTCAGCCTGCGGACTGAAGGGTCCCAGGTTCGATTCCGGTCAAGGGCATGTACCTGGGTTGCGGGCACAACCCCAGTGGGAGGTGTGCAGGGGGCAGCTGATCGATGTTTCTCTATCATCGATGTTTCTAACTCTCTATCTCTCTTCCTTCCTCTCTGTAAAAAATCAATAAAATATTTAAAAAAAAATTTCAGTTGAGATCACAAAATTAATCCTCTTTTTAAATCAGACCAATAAGCAAAATATTTTGAATTCCTAATTATTTCAGAGAAAACAAAAATTATTTTCGAGAAAATAAATTTCTACACTTTAGGCATTTAGCTACCACAACTACACAATTTCTCCCAATTCAATCCGAACTTTAAACTTTTAGCTGGCAAGTCAAATATTTAGCATTTCTCAATCATTAACATTTTTAAGAATAAACTTCAAAAATACAAGACATAATCAACCAACAGATTCAATTCTGTCCTCTAGATTTTGTACAAGGCATACTCAGATCAACACTTCAGCATTATTTCACTTCAAAATACCTAGATATAAGTTTTTATCATTTGATTCAGTAAACTCCAAGGTCCCAAGTTCCTAGCAGCTCTGGAAAACCACGCTAGAGGCTGGCAAACAGGCCTGGCCCAGCCCTTGACTTTAAAACGACCA